GATGAGTCTCTTTGCATCACGGACAAGTCCCTAAAAGCCAGCTGCACATGGCCTTCTGCAAGCCGACTCCTGGTAAGGGTCTCACACACAAATGCGGCTCAGCCCAGGACAGAGAGCCCCTCGGTCTTCAGTCTGAAGCCTCCACCCCCTCCCCACATGAGTAATAAACACCTACATCTGCAAACACTTCAAAGCCTGGGGGTGGAACGAACCTTCTGTAAAAGGAAGACCCCTTTGTAAGTTCACACTTCCCGCCCCCAATAACTCAGGCGAATAAACCAACCCAACTCCAAGTGCAGGTGACAAGGAGGCCTGAATTCTCACCGACAGAGTTCTGACGCTTGTTAAGAGGCAGGTAGAGAGAGCGCATCCTAAAACACCCATCTCACAGAGCTGGCCCTGGTCGGGCCTCACCCCTCTTTCCAGGCCTGTCACCTTCTTGTCCCCAAACCCCCTACGCCAGCCACAACACACCACACCTCCTCTCACGTGTCCGCCAGCATGCTGTGGGCTCAGCTGTCCCCTGGGGCTGGTGGCTCCCTTTCCTGCACAAACTCCCATCCCTCAGTTGAGGCCCAGGCCAACGTCGGCTTCTCTCGGATGTGTCCCCCGGCAGGAGAAAGCCACCGTCAGTGCCCACGCCGGACCCCACAGCACTTGGCACCCACCCGCATGGCGCACGCAGGCATTCTTCATTCATTCATTCACCCCACACTGAGGAGAGCGCACCGTGGGCTGTGGGAGGGGGTACCTCAGAAACGGCCCCCACCCTTGCAAAACTCAGGAGGGTGAGCGACATCCTCTTCTGTCCAACAGGGATCTGAGAAGCACCCACCCCAAACAGCTGTTCCAAAAATTCGACCAGGCAGTGGCGGTAAAGAGCCTGCCACACTGCGCCCGGCACAGAGCAGGTGCCTGGGTAACAGCGGCGCCTGTTATCTGCCTTGGACACAGGCTCTTGGCTCAGCCAAGTGAGGCCTCCCATCTTTTGAGATCTACAGCGCGGGGCATAAGAAGCCAGGTTCAGAGAGAGCTCCTCCCAGGAGGGAGCCCAGACACCGAGCGGCACGGGGCAAGGCACCCTGCAGAAGCCCTCTCCCACCCACGCCTGCCCAGGGTTCAGCGCGAACAGGGCCCTTGATTAGAATTTCCCATTTGAAAAATCAACATTTAAAGTTCGGCGTCTGCCAAGTGGAGGGGAAGGCCTTGCTTGTAAATATTTGTCTCCACTGGCAAAGCCAGGCCTTTCGCTTGCCGCGGCTACCCGCCTCGCTCCTGGCCCTCTGTGCACACAGCTCCCAGCCCAGTGCACGGCGGGACACCCCTGGGGAGGCCGGCCATCTGGCGGCCAAGTTGAGCTGCACAGGGTGGGGGCCGGCCCTGCACCCCCACCTCGGAGACAGCGGGCCAGGACGCCGGGCCGCCCAGGGGCCGTCCATCTGTCTCCCCCGGGCTGAGACGGAGACCACTCGCTGTGAGATTTCTCTGGATTCTGAGCTCGCAGCTTTTCCCAGGGGGCACCCCAGGTTTCTGTCTTTCTTATTTTGGAAGAAAGCAAAAGCCAGAGACAAAACCCTGGGGGCGTGTTTGCAAATCACGGCCCCCTCCACGCTTCCGCGCTCACTGCCTGCGCCAACAGCTGCCCACGGGAGGGGCTCACATCTGGTCCCCAGGGCCACTGAGGCCCGGAGGGTCCCCTCGCTGGGGAAGCCCTCTCCACGGCAGTGGGTGGCTGCGCCCGGTACACACCAGCTGAGTACCTGCCCTGGCGTCACCATTCCCAGAGAGTCATGTGTTCATTCACCCATTCAGCCACCCATCCATTCATCCAGCATGACTTACCCACCTGTACAAGGCACAGTGGGCTGGACCCACAAGTAAGTAAAAACCAGCCCGGGCAAAATCCCTTTAACAGGGGGTCTCCCGGGCCAAAAGTCACAGCTGAGACAAATGCCCAGGAGCGGTGGAGGCTTGACGGGGGAGCGAGGGTGGTCTGGAGGCCAGAGAAGGCTTCCCGGGGGACAGGGAGGGGGCGGGGAGGGAGGGCGGCGTTGGCAGGCCCCCCCCTCCTGCCAGCACCTACCGAGCCACTCATTGAACTTCTTCACCTCGCTGGGGAGTCCCAGTTCCGTGAAGTCCCCGGCGTGGATCAGCACGTCTCCATAGGGCATCTGGATGGGG